AGTGTTTCAAAGGTGTTATCCTGCATAGGTATGAAATTGTGAGGGGCGGGGGGTAAATTCTCAGTTGTGAAATTAATCAAAACTCTTCATTCTCTTGTTTGTTCATAAACAGGTATTCTCGTACATTTAAGTTTTATTTTTTTCAAAGTGGTCATTTAACTGAAATGCCTTTATGCAACTAATTTTCAATTTGCATGCACAAACTACTTGTTTAGGTTTTTGGAGTTAAGAACTAGTCACTGTGTTTTGCCCTAGAATTTCTAATTAAGGGAAATGAATTTGTCATCTATATAGCAGCTAAAAAAAAAACTTTGGTCATTTACAATTTGAAATAAAGTCTGTTAAAATAGGGTTTTTCTTTCATCTTTAAAAATTGGCAAAGGTCAATTCACCCTAGTTTTTTTTTTTTTAATTCTGAAATATATTATTCTCTATTTCTGCTGTTTGAGGGCACATCTTCAGAAAAAAAACAGCTTAAGAAATTCTTGGATATGCCTGCCAAGAGAAAGCATATGTATATGCTTGCTCTGAGAGAATAAAGATTTGTGAATGCCTGACTTGCAGAATTGATTTAGATAGTAACAAAAAGCAAGAGACAGCCAAGAAAAATTACTTATTAAGACATTGGCCAAGGTGTGGGGAGGAAGAAAAGGACTTAGCAAAGAGAGCCCTACTAGGGTACTCTTGATGGTGGTGATTAATGGAAGTTAGGTGAGTTTTCTTAGAGAATTAAAAAGAACAAAGGTGTATTCTTACATTGGTAAAGGTTATTGTGATATACTTTTAAGAGGTTAGAATTCCTTTGAGGATGTAGTTTAGGTAACTATATCAAATACATCTTTTTACCTTGCAGAAGCTTAAATTGTTTGCCAAGTATCAACTTGTGTCCAACCACAACAAAAAAAATCTTTGTCTTTCTAAACTGTTAATGATCGTGCTCTGGAAATTGTTAACTCGCTAATTTTTATCTTCTTTAATTATATCTGAAAATACACCATTTTCTACTGTAAGTTCAAAAGTGCTCAGATTATTCTGTGAATTAAAATTTAATAGTATGTGTTTATATGTCCTAAGATCTAAGTTTGGGACTTCTATGTTTCAAGAGATGGGAATCGTTTTTTTGGTTGGGGGAGAAAATTTTCTAAATTTCTATATGAGAAAGAATGAGAAATGTAACTTGCATAGTATAAAGTTTGCTATTCACTAGATAACTTCATTATAATTTTTGTAATGATGAAATTATTTCTCTTTTGTCTTGATCAGCTAAATCATAACATTAAAAATGTGGTGCTTCGACCCAGTGGAACAAAACTCAGTCGCCTAATGTTAACACTACAAGATAATAGTTTCTTGTCCATTGACAAAGTACCAAGTAAGGATGCAGAAGAAATGAGATTGTTCCTAGATGCAGTCCACCAAAACAGACATCATGCAGGTGAGTAATCATTCCAGCGTCTGACTTGCTAGCAACCAGAAAATAATTTAGCTAAAAAAAGCAGAACTCAGTGCATTCTGACTCATAGCAACCTTAAAGGACAGAGCAGAACTGCCCCTGTGAATTTCCAAAATTACCCTGAGGAGAGTAGAAAGTCTCATCTTTCTCCCTTATCTACAGAAGAAAGATTTAAATCAGAATAGGAAAGTTACTTTGTTACGTGATATCTTAGGAACTACCTGTATAAAGCTTACTCTGATTTAATTCTTGCTATAAAAACTACGTTCTGTCAAAAATCATGCACTGTGGTTGAAATCTCCTGTTCCCTCCAACTCCTTTCTTTTAAAATGTGAGTGTGGGGTTTTTTGTGTTTTGTTTTTGTTTAATGTATTTTGCACGCTTTTTTCCTTAGGGATAATCTATTACTTACATTGCGTTTCCCATCAATATTGCTTAAACTCTCAGGATACAATCCTGCTGTTTCTTCCATTCCTTAAATACTATATAATAGTAGTAAGGGGAAATCTTTTTATTAAGTAGAGGTTTTATTTCTCTTCTTTTGGTTACCAGCCATGAAACCTCAAGGGTCTGGCAGTTTTGGAGCTATTCTGGGCAGCCGGACATCACAAAAAGAAACCAACAGACAGATTTCTTATTCAGACAATCAGGTATGTTCATTTGGATTATCTTAGCTCTTTTATTTTAAAGAGTCACTGTGATGTATGTTCTATCAGGTAGTTGCAAGAAGTAGACTTTATAGACTCTATTGCTTAGTATTTCTGGTATTGTCAAGGATCTATTCCGGGTGTATGAGATTTACCATGTAGCCATCTTATTCTCCAATTCTCACTCAAAAACTCACTGCCGCTGAGTTGATTGTAATAGCAACCATACAGTACAGGGCAGAACTGTCTCTCTGGGTTCCCGAGACTAACGCTTTACAGGAGTAGAAAGCCTTATCTTTCCCTCATTTTTATTTTCTCCAGTTTTTCTAATGAAAATCCTTGTAAAATGTATCACTTCCTTTCTGGCTTAACAGTTTAGCTGAACACAGTTTAACTTTTGCCTGTTGTCTTCATGGTTATCACTATGAACCACAGAGTATAGTTTTTAAAAGAATAGCTTTGGAGTTTGATTGATTTTTGAGATTTAGTGCTGCTATTTACTAGCTAGGTCATTGAAGAAATTCCTTAAGTATTCCAAGCCTCAGTACCTATCTATAAAATTAAGATTGCAGTTGCTTGCACTAATATGTAAAAGCATTGCTGTGACATTAAAAACAAAAAACCTCGCTGCATTTGAGTTGATGCCAACTCCTACCAACCCCATAGGGGAGGGTAGAACTGTCCTTGTGGGTTCCTGAGACTTAGCTCTTTGTGGGAGTAGAAAGCCTCTTTCTCCTGTAAAGCTGCTGGTGGTCTGAACTGACCTTGCAGATCGCAGCCTAACACATAACTAGCTATGAGACAGTGTATGGAAAGTGCTTATCCCATCATACTCAACACTAATAACCCTGTAAATATTTGGTTGCTTCTATTTCTGGGATGTCTGTTGGGTGTGTTTTTCATTATGAACTTTGCCTTTACACTGTATCATAACCAGGCTTTTAAAATAGTTTTTCTTTAACAAAGCTCTTTGTAAAACTAGTGCACTACGAAGTACTCTTTTTGGAACTTAGCAGTCATATGCTTCTTTTAATTTGTTTTGCAAAGGGAAACCATGCAGCTAAATTTGCTAAAACTTTTCGATTTTTTTCAACTAATTTTTTCTTTTTTGTAGACAAATTTATTACAAAACATTTGCCATTACAACCATTTTATATGTGTCGTTCAAAAACTCATTGCCATCAAGTTGATTCCAACTCATAGTGACCCTATAGGATAAAGTTCTTAGGTGCCATCTAGTCAGTGATGATTCACGGTGACCTATGTACAACAGAAAGAAACCCTGCCCTGTCATGTCCCTTCCTCACATTTGTTCTTATGGTTGCAGCCTCTGTGTCAATGCATCTTGAGGGCCTTCTTTTTTTATTCTTCTTTTTTGGTTCCCCTCTACTGTATCAAGCATGATATCCTTCTCGAGGCACTGGTAATATGCCCAAAGTATGTGAGATGAAGCCTTACAATCTTTGCCTCTAAGGAGCCTGGTGGCTGTATTTCTTCCAGGGTAGATGTATTCGTTCTTTTGGCAGTCAATAGTACATTCAGTATTCTTCGCAAGAACCATAGGACACAGTAGAACTGCCCACTAAGACTAGCACACACCATTTGTTCCCATTGAGTGGCTAGTGAATTGCCAATCTTGAGCACATAACCACTATACCGTAGGGCTTTTATGTACTATTCCAGGACATGAATTATATTCACCATGTTGTACAACCATCACCAATATCTGTTTGTAATTTTCTCATCACCTCAACAGAAACTTACTGACCATAAAACAATCAGAAACATTTCAAAGTAAGAGAAACTTAAAGTATCTGTATGGCTATGCAGAAAGGATTACTTAGTCCATTTACTCGACTTGTTTATTAGGTTCTTTTTATTGGTTGGATTAAGGGAGGTGGTTTTATTGAGGTATAATTGTCATGAAATAAATTGCATGTCATTAAAATAGGCAGTTTACTATTTGTGATGTATGGATTCACCTGTAAAACCATCACTGTAATCAAGATAGTAAATGTATTTGTCATGACTGTCAGATCATAGCCAAAAGGTTTGAAAAAGATGCTAAATAATGTGTATGTAGAATGCTACCCTTAATATGAAGTAGCCTTGGTGGCATAGTGGGTTATGCAATGGACTGCTAATTCCAAAGCAAGGCCAGCAATTCAAACTCACCAGCTACTCTGAGGGAGAAAGATCAGGCTTTCTGCTCCTGTAAGGATTTCACAGTCTTGGAAACTACAGGGGCAGTTCTACTCTGTCCTATGGGGTTGCTGTGAGTCAGAATGGGCTCAATGGAAGTGTTTGAGTGATGGAGAGACAATTTATTTGTCTGCCAAAGGAGAAATGAAATATCCATCTATGTTTGTGAAAAGGAACAGTGGAAGAATACTCACATGGAACAGGGAAAGGAGCAGTGAGACTTATGAGCTATTCATAATTAAATTTTATGAATGATAGCTATTCATAAAATAATATGAGCTATTCAAAATTAAATTTTAAATCATTTACATTTATCCAGGTGAGCTTAGAGGTATTTTTCTTTAAAAATTGGGGGGGGAACCGATCACAATGATCTCTGTATAAATAGAAACGTGGGTGAAGGGAGACAGCAGACAGTGTAAGATATGAAAATGATAATAACATAATTTATCAAGGGGTCACAAGAGTGGCAGGGTGGGTGGGGCGCGGGGAGGAGGTGAAACCAAGGACTCAAGTAGAAAGAAAATGTCTTGAAAACCATGATGGCAACATGGACAAATGTGGTTGATACAGTCGATGTATGGATTGTTAAAAGAGCTGAAAGGGCCCCCAAGAAAAATTTTTTTTCAAGTAATTTGGTAGGAAAAAAATTGGCTATACCATAGGGAACTCACATGGTTCTTCATATAAAGGTAAAAAAATAATATAATGTGTTTTTCAACTAATATGTTTGAATTGCTGTCTTCTCTGTGGGATAGATTCTTGATTTGTCTTTACTTTGGACCTTCACCTCCTCCTACTCCCCGGTGTTACATATAATTGTCTCATTCCTCTCAACTGACCCCTCTTCCACCATCAGCTGAGGTGCATTCGACTTGATTTTAGCAGCTCAGTCTCATCATTGTTCCTTTTTCTTACTACTCTGCCCCTTTATCATAAACATAATTGGGCCTTTTCTTCCCTCGAGGATCTCTCTTCATACCAGTTACTAGACCCACATCTTTTCTTTATTTAAATTAGTAATTCAAAGCAGGATTCTTTCTGCCTCCAGATGTGCTGTGGAATTTAAAGTTTACAGGAGTGCTGCAAAGTCACACTCAGGTTTTTTATACTGTCTATATAGTAGGATCACCTGGGGTGCATTTAAAAAACCAAACACCCCACACACAGCAGAATGAAATACAAAGGGAGTGCAACAGGGTAGTAAGGGGAACAAAGAAACAAAGTCCCTGAGGAATCCTGAAAATAAACTTTTGACTGGGAAACACGGATTGGTGGCACCTCATCAGACCAGACTGGAAAAATTCATAAGGGTCAGCAGCAGATTTGGAACTATTTATAGGTTTTTTGTTTTGGTTCTTTTTTTCTTCTTTCTTCCAACCTATGTCTATCTATAATAGACAGGCAGCATAAAACAACAGGACCAGCAGTTCCAAGGGGACATGGGAGAGGAGGGGGTGGGGAACCAGCAAAGTCAGGGACAAGGGAACAACAAGAGATCTAAAATTGATGGCAAGAAGGGCATAGAATGCCTACTGTGGTTTGATCAAGTGCAATGTGTCCGAGAAGAATTACTGAGAGCCAAGTGGAGGGCAAGCATGATAGTGGGACAGGAGGAAGGTAAAAGGAAATACAGGAAAGAACTTGGAGGCAGAGGCTATTGATAGAGGTGTAGGTATGGGTGTGTATATGTGTAGATATATTAATTTTAATGGTGATATAGGTCAATGTACATATATTTATGTGTTAAGTATTAAGATAGCAGACAGACTTTGGGTATCTATTCAAGGCTTCCCTAAATACAAGAACACTTTGTTCTAATAACCTGACACTCTTTGATAGTCACCTTCCTGACACTATCACTGAAGACAAAATGGGTGCATAAGCAAATGTGAAGAAAGCAGATGGCCCGGCTATCAAAAGATAAAGTTTCTGGGTCTTAAGGCTTGAAGTTAAAACAAGTGGCCATCTAACTGGAAAGCAACAAAGTCCACATGGAAGAAGCACACTTACTATCCTATGTGATCATGAGGTGTCGATAGGATCAGATCTCAGGTATCAAAAAAATCCAAAACAAACAATTATATGAATGTGAGCTAAGGCAGTCAGAGTGGAGACACAAAGCTCATCTGTAGACAATTGGACATTCCCTTAGTCCTGAATGCTTCCTCCCCCCACTATCATGACCCATTTCTACCTTATAAATCTTGCTAGACCAGAGTATGTATATTGGTACAGATAAGAGTTCTCGACACATGGAATCCAGGACAGCTATAACCCCCTCAGAAACAGTAGTGGTCATAGCAATACCATGAGAGTAGGGGGAAGGGATGTGTGGAGAAAGCGGGAACTGATCATAAGGTTGGATATATACCACCCCCCAGGGGTATGAATGATTGAAATGTTGATGAAGGGAGACAACGGACAGTGTAAGATAAAAATATAGTAATAATAATATATAATTGGTCTAGGATTCAGAAAGGTGGGAGGTGGAAAAGAGTTGATACCAAGGACTCAAGTAAAAGAAAATGATGGTGGCAACATATACAAATGTGCTTAATACAATTAAATTATGGATTGTTATGAGATCTGTAAGAGCCCCCAATAAAATGATTAATAAAAATAAGTACAGTACAAAACAAAATAAAAGTGGTTCCCAATAAAATGGTTAAAACAGAACAAAACAAGGAAACAAAGGCCCCATTCCAGATCAGTAAGGCCAGAACCTTGGAGATAGGTCCCCAGCTATGGGTATTCTTTAAGAGCTCCTTGTGTTTTTGTTTTAAAATCATTTTATTGGGGACTCGAACAACTCACCACAATCCATCCATCCATCCATCCATCCATTGTGTCAAGCACATTTGTACATGTGTTGCCATCATCATTCTCAAAACGTTTGCTTTCTACCTGAGCCTTTGGTATCAGTTCCTTATCCCCCCGCCCCCAACCCTTGATGATTTATAAATCATTATTATTTTGTCATGTCTTACACGGTCTGATGTCTCCCTTCACCCACTTTTCTATTGTCCGTCCCTCAGGGAGGGGGTTATATGTAGATCCTTGTAATCGGTCCCCCTTTCTACCCCACCTTCCCTCCACCCTCCCAGTATCACTACTCTCACCACTGGTCCTGAAGGGTTCATCTGTCCTGGATTCTCTGTTTCCAGTTCCTATCTGTACTAGTGTACATCCTCTGGTCTAGCTGGATTTGTGAGGTAGAATTGGGATCATGATAGTGGAGCTCCTTGTGTTTTAATCAAGGATCTAGAAGTATTCCAATTCACTTTAAACTTATTCTTTACAGGCCTCCTCAAAAAGGAGCAGTTTGGATACTAAAGATGATGCTTCATTTCGGAAAGTTCTTGGTAGTCCAAGTAGAGGATCCATTAAGACTACAGCAGGAAGTGGACTACCTGCCACCCGGACCATTCCTTCTTTAATGACTACATCAACGCCTCTTAGATCTGGGTTATTGGAAAATAGGTATGAAAGACTTAGTTTTATAGTTAGTCACTAAATTTGAAGAGGACAAAAAGGAGAATGGGTAGTGAGTAAAGCGTGTTAAAGGAGACAAAGTGCATTTTTTAATGTTAATTAAAATTATGCTTCTGACTTATGTTAGTTATACTTTTAGCATGTAAATAATACATTAATTTTTATATGGTGTAGAGAATTAGGTAACAATAGCCATAGTTTCTGTCCTCGAGTTTGTTAGGGTATTGGTTTAATGGGTGACATCCTCTATTTCAACAGATCAGAAAAGAGGAAAAGAATGATGTCCTCTGGCTCAGAGTTGAATGAAGATTACCCTAAGGAAAATGATTCATCATCGTAAGTTGCTTTAAGAGTCTTTATGACACTAAATCAGTATTTCTTTTATTGGTAATTTTAGCCACTAGGTAAGAATGGGGAGATAGTACTCAGTTGGTACAGATACCAAAGATAGAAGAGCAGAGTGAAGATGTTTTGGTTACAGTGGATTGTAGCCTTGGGGGACATGGGGTTTTGCCAGTGATACTGCTTTGTCTCATTTCATTGGATTTACCCTATCCTGAATTTTTTTTTCACCTGCAATGCCTAATGGAGGAATAGAACATTAAACCACTCTTGTTCACTACTCCTTTAATGTGAACTCCTTCCTCCTCCCTTAGCTTTATTCTTACAATACATTCGTGTGCACATGCGCACACATATATCTAGCCTCATTTGAAAGTCAGTGTGATGTAAGGATGAAAGATTATCAGCCCCCGGTAGGTTCTAGGAAAAGAACACCAAACTCTGAGGAGAGACCTGCAAAAGGAAGGTCATGGTCCTTTTCCCTGCTTTGTGAGGATTTTTTTAGGGTCTTCTGATAGAGAAAAGGAGTCCCTGGGGGGCTCAAACAATTAATATGCTTGAGTGCTAATCAAAAGAGTTGGAAGTTTTGAGTATGCAGAGGTACTTCAGAAGAAAGGCTGATAAATCGATGAAGTTTCATCCACTGAAAAAACTATGGAGCTAGAACTAGATGATGCCTGGCTACCACAAATGACTATGACTGGGATTGTAGTAGAAGATCCTGAACAGAATGAGAGAGAAAAAAATCCAAACTTTTTTTAAAAGACCAGACCTGTCTGGTAGCTACTGATGGGACCATCAAGATTTTGTCCCTTAGCGACCCTTCAAACTGGACCCACTTCTTGAGTCACCTTGTCACCAAACAATAAGTAGCCAATGAAATAAACAGTTAACACCCACAAGGGACATGCTTTTGAGATCATTCAATGACTATAGTTTTACATACATCATGCGTGTTACGCGACCCTTGAGTTCCTGCTTGCTTTAGTTTCCTATGTATGGCTGTGTGTATAATTTACATGTGTGCATTATATGTAGGAAAAGGTGGAATACAGACCAAAAGATCAGCATTTTCCTCAAAGCAAAAAGCTGGAAAGCAGGGCAAATGGAAACAGGAACCCAGAGTGGAAGTGGGGGGAGTGCTGACACATTGCAGAGATTGCTTTCTGTGCCCCCAAAATAACCTGTGGATAAGTCATTTGATGGAAAATAATTTACTTTGTAAACTATCCCCTAAACCCACAATAAAATGTTCAAAAAAAGAAAGAAACTCGTATGGATCACAGTTCTACACTGACACACATGAAATCACCTGGAGTCAGAATCCATTTGAAGGCAACTAGATAGGGGAGAATTACTATGTAGCTATCATTTAGTACCTCTGTTAATAAGTTAACAGAAATGAGTTGGTAGAATTTACTTTCTAGGTTTGCTTCTTGTGCCAACTGTTACAGATCATGTTCCCTAGAAGCAGACCCTGTGATGGAGATTTTTTTAGCCTTAGTAGCTAAATCAATTCATCTGGTCCTACTTTGGGCCAAAAAAAGTCTTTTCAATCTTGTTGTCTGTAATTGACTGTTGAATATAAAAAATGCTCCTTTGTTTTTTTTAAATACTTTTATTGGGGGCTCTTACATCTCATCACAATCCATATATTCCTCCAATGTGTCAAGCACATTTGCACATATGCCACCGTCATCATTTTCAAAGCATTCTCTTCCCACTTGAGCCCCTGATATCAACTCCCCATTTCTCCCCCCTCCCTCCCCCGCCCACCCTCCCTCACAAACCCCTGATAAGCTATAGATTATTTCTTCTATATCTTACATCGTCCAATGCTCCTTTATTTCATCTCAGTACTAGGACCACAAATTAGATTGTTCCTAATTTAATAAGCTTTAACACCTTGTAGCCTGACTTTCAAGCAAATCAATGAATCCAGCACTTGAAATGCAATTTTTTTTCTTTCTAAAGTTTTAATCGACTTATTAGGAGTTCTTACAGATACCATAACATTCCACAGTTTGTTTACTTCAAGCACTATTGTACAATTACTACCACAATGAAATGTAATTTGTTAAATGATAACTTAAAATTAAGAACAGTATCTAATGTTATATTTGACATTGTTTTACAATTGTTACTAATGTTGTGTTGATGTAAAATTGACGGTAGGAACAACAAGGCAATGACAGATCCCTCAAGAAAATATTTAACAAGCAGTCGAGAGAAACAATTGAGTTTGAAGCAGTCAGAAGAGAACAGGGCATCAGGTGAGTAGTGTTGGTTTTTATTAATATATGCATTTATTATATGTTGTATTCTGTTATACTAGAAAGTAAAACCTAAATCAGGGCATAACTTTCCTACATTATTCATGAATACTACATAATACTAGTTTTTGACCATTAGTTTATTCCCACTGCTTGTCTGCAATTATAAGGAAGATAAGAGAGCTTTTATCTGTGTATAAGGAATCTAGTCTTTATCTTCTTCTGTTTGTAAAAATTAAGCTCTTTTGTTGACATAGTACCTAGACCTATGAATGCACCAAAGGAGTTAAAGTGAGTTGAAATATAAGTTTGTCACTTTGACGCTTTAGGAGAAAATATTGAAATTAATTTCTAAAGCCGGTCTTTAAGTTTACTTAACACCTTAAAGCAGCGGTTCTCCACCTGTGGGTCGTGACCCCTTTGGGGGTCGAACGACCCTTTCACAGGGGTTGCCCAATTCCTAACAGTAGCAAAATGACAGTTATGAAGTAGCAACGAAAATAATTTTATGGTTGGGGGGGTGTCCCCACAACATGGGGAACTGTATTAAAGGGTCACAGCATTAGGAAGATTGAGAACCACTGGCTTAAAGGAACCCTAGAATCTCAGTGAGTTAAGTGCTGGGCTGCTAACGAAAAGCTTAGAACCCACCAGCTGCACTTAGGAGAAAGATGTAGCAACTTGGTCTCCTATAGATTTACAGCCTTGGAAACCCCGTAGAGCTGCTATTCCCTGCCCTGTAGGGTCATTAAGAATTGGAAATGACTTGATGGCAGTAGTTTGTTTGTTTTTTTAAAGAAGGTAAAAATTTATCTGCCCATGGATTTTTGTGTATTTCTCCGATCCTTTGAAATCTTAGACACTCAAATATTTTGTATTGATTTGACTTCTGTCAACTTGAAATTCAGTTGAAGTGAGCTAGAATGTGCCATGATTTCAAGAAATTGTTAATTTAAGAGAATTAAGGAAGCTTTTCTCTGAGTGATTTGGGACTGTGGTTTTGGGACCCCTCCAGAAGTAATATCTAAATAAAATTCTCAACTCTGAATTAAGTAATAAACATGTTCAAACACTGTTTATTGGTTTCCAGCTTTGAAATCAACTGGTAGGGAGAACATAGAAACATTTAAAACGTTGTAAGTGTTAAGGACATTTTGAAGTTAAGGCACACTTGTAAAAGAGGAACAAGTGAGTGTTCAAGTGACAATAAGGTTCATGGAGCAGATCACAAAGTTTCAAGTGTGTGACAGTTACAAAGTTAATCAGAAAAAGAACTAAAGTAGCACAATTGATTGTTTGGAGAGAAAGGCATAGAGGTTATGTAAGAGATACTTTCTAATTTTTCATAACAAAGATTCAATTGATATTAAGTCAGGAAATAGTAGAGGCATATTATTTAAAGTTGCAGAGAAAAACTGTAAAGAGGGCATTGGAATTAGAAGCAGAACCTAAATAACTATAGTAAAGGGAGTATTGCTTTACTATTTTAACCTTATTCTGTACACGTGTAGATTATTTCACAACTGTATGTGACGGAAAATCTATCTATAAACTGGCTCGATGGTATGATTTTATTACTAAGTTAACTTGAATAATTGACTTGGAGTTGATTTTTTCCTACCTTCATTTGGTTTATAGGACTTTTACCTTTGCAGTCATCATCCTTTTATGGTAGCAGAGCCGGATCCAAAGACTACTCTTCTGGCAGCACTAACCTGGACAGGTATGCACTGGTTATACGCCTTGGGAAGACCTAGAAGAGCTTTCTTTGGATAATTGAACAGTGGAATGAGCTGTACATTATGCTCAAAATGAATAAATCGAAAATAACAAAATGGATAAGAGAATTGTAGAATTATGCCGTATAATTTAGAAAATATTCTAGAAATGTTTTTAAGCCACTCCCATTTATTTATTTATTTGTTTGTTTGTTTGTTTGTTTTGCCAAATGAAAGAAGTCTAGGAGAATGAGTCACAGTTACTGTGTACACATAGCATTAGCCGCTATGCCGTGTCTGGAATATCAGTGCTTACAAAAAATTCTCTCTGTGCTATAAAGCAGTCTTCAATTTCTGCTGTACCTCGAATTACTACCCTTAAGCCATTTATCCCTTCCATCAGGACAAGTGATGGGAAGGAGTGTAGATTTAGTAGTAGTTGGTGCAGGCTCTGCAGAACTCTCAGCCATAATTTGTCTAAAGCCATTATACACTTCTGTGTATCTAGTGGAGAAAGCTACACTGACAGGAACTCATACTCTCTCAGAGGCCTGCTGTGATCCACGTGCTTTTGAAGAACTCTTTCCAGACTGGAAAGTGAAAGGGGCTCCACTGCAAACTCCTTGAACAGAAGATAGATTTCAGCAGAGAAATACAGACGTCCCATGCCAATTCTTCCTGGTCTTCCAATAAAATAACTATACTAATTATACTGTGCTCTTGGGACATGTAAAATGGCAGTGTTGGACCTAGGCTAATGTCAGGGAGGGCAGTCAGCCTCAGCTCTAAGCTGAGTTCTATGAGGTGGAGTTCAGACATACCTCCACTCTTCAACTTTACCAATTCTGACACTGATCGTCCCTTCCAGGGCTCTACATCTTTTAGACTGCAATGACCACATACAACTTACAGAGAACGTATATACTCGAGTCTGAGCCGACCTGAATATCAGCTAAGGCACCTAATTTTACCACAAAAACTGCATTAAACGTGCTTTAAAACTCAGCTTATACATGAATATATGCGGTAATACTATTGTGGTGTTTATTAAGGAAGTACAGGTTCCAATTCAGGATCAGGATCAACTTGGAACATAGGTTACAGTTTTTCAATCTGGACAGTTTATACTCTGCCACCATAGAGCCCAGCTTATGCCTGGCCTCTGTCCTGCTCTGGCAAGTGTTAACACATCTCTTTAGCTCAGCACAGAAGTGCCCAAAGGCACCCTACCTCTTCACGAAGTTTCCTGCCTAGAGGTGTTTAGCTCTCACTCCATTCTGTGACTGCACTGTGGGTCCAGCGAGCCCACCAGCAAGTGTAAAAGGTGCATCATTTCACCAGAAAGGTTCCTTCCCAGAGGCACTTGGCTTTTCTTGCTCCTTGGGTCATTGAACCTACTGTGGCCATTTTCTGACCAGCACTGCTGCCATCTCATGCTGCTGCTACTGCCTCAAGTGTTACAGCTCTCTATCTCTTGGGTCTAGGATGCTCTTAGCACAGGAATCCTGGGCCCAAAGGATGTACTTTGCTGCCTCTTCTTGATGGTAATGATTCCCTCTCAACCTCTTAGATTGGCAGTTTTTAATCCTAGACTATTAACCAATCCCCTACAAGAATTTCATGTCTATTATTTGCACTTGTAATCCCTGTAAGTGTTCCATGCACTTTATTGGCATCATCCCAGCCAGTCAGTTAATAGGAGTTTTTTTGTTTTGTTGTTTTTTTTTTGCCCTGCCCCTCCCTAATAGGAGTTTTAAGACCATGCCTAGATAAGCCAAATACATTGATTGACTGCACCAGAGGACATTTAATGAACTGGATGGTCATGCTACTTCTGAGTCCTTTTTCCTCAAGGTGGTAGTGTAAAGGGATTACCACCAGCAATGTAGTGGTACAAAGACAATACTTGAAAGGGATTAGAACTAAATGCAAGTGTCAATTTTTGCAGAAGGCTGCTGTGGACATATAGCCAAGCAACTGTATAAGAAGTTTGATATGATGTGTCAGGATGGCCGAGTGGTCTAAGGCGCCAGACTCAAGAAGTTTGATATGAGGACCAATTTTTATCCCCAAGCCAATGGAATTGACCTGAAGAAGTTAGGAATTATTTAGGACAAAAAGTAGAAACTTAGGAGAGTAGGTCTTACTGTTAGTTGGCCCATGGACAAACATACTTGTGGAGGATCTTTGCTATATTATTTAAATGAAGGTGAACTACTGGTAAAACTCCTGGCTTTGTGGTTGGTCTAGAACCAGGCATCTTCAAACTACAGCCTGCTGAGGACATCCGGCCTGCCGGGTGTTTTTGCTCCGTTTGTTTTTTTACTTCAAAATAAGATATGTGCAGTGTGAATAGGAATTTGTTCAAAGTTTTTTTTTTTTTTAAACTATAGTCCAGCCCTCCAACGGGTCTGAAGGACAGTGAACTGGCTCCCTGTTTAAAAAGTTTGAGGACCCCTGGTCTAGACTTCTCAAAATTCTTATCTTGAATCCATTTAGAAAGCTACAGAATTGGAAATACCATCTCAGCATTCAGCCAACATTGGAATATAGAAAAAGAAGTGCAATGTGGAACCAGAGCTTGCAATGAAAGTAATTTTCAGTCTATACCCAAACTCACCTTTCATGGTGGGTTTCTAATTACTTCTGGCCCTGGTTTCATGATTGTCCCCAGATTATTGTGTCCACACAGCAATGAAAATAATGGGCAAAAGAATCTGAACAACTAACTAGTGAAAGCCTCTAATCAAAGACAATAGGACTCAGTGTAGCCAAACATTTGAGAGTTGAAGAAATGGGTAAAGGACTTGAATAGGCATTGTACCCAAGAAGATATAGAAATGGTCAACAAGACAGGGGGGAAAACTTTAGTTATCTACTAGTCATTAGGTAAATGCAAATCAAAACCAGAATAAGATGCTGGCTCACCGCCACTAGAACGGCTGTGATTTAAGAGGGGACAAGAGATAACAAGTGTGGATGAGGATGTGGAGAAGTGGGAAACTTTAACATTTGCTAGTGGAAATGAAATGGTGCTATGAAAAAGTGTTTGGTGGTCCCTCAAAATTAGACATAAACTACTGGTCTGAGGTATATATGAGAGGGTACACCACCACCACCACCACCACCCCCGAAAAAAAGAAAAAAATGGAAAACTCCTCTATGCAGAGCATTTTCCCCTGCTAGGCGAGCATGGAGCAACTTGCTCTGAGTTAGTGCATCCAGCAGCATCACCTGGGAAGGTTCTCCCTGGTTCAGTGAATTTTTGTGATGGGCTATTTAAGAGGACAGTGTGTGGCTATGAAATTTTGTTTCCTGGTTGGGAAAAATGCCACAGAAACTGTTGTGATGTTGAACACAGCTTACAAGAACAGTGCTATGAGAAAAACTCAGGTGTATGAGTGGTTTTCTTGTTTGAAAAAATGTGAAATGTTGATTGATGGCAAACCGCGTTCGGGACGTCCATCAACTAGATGAAAATGTTGACCTGTAGTGCATTTGGAGTTCATTCCACCAGGTCAGACTGTTAAGCTTTCTATTTAGAAGTTCTGAAAAGCTAGTGTAACAAACAGTGTGTGACCAAAAAGGCCTGATTTGGGGGGTGGGGTGGGCTGGTTTTGCTACTACGACAATGCACCTGTTTACACAGCCATTTTTGCCACCACAACAATGTACCTGTTCACACAGCCATTTCAGTGCACCCGTTTTTGGCAAAAAAACAGCATGCCTCTCTTGCCCCATGCACCTTACTCCCCTGACCTCACTTCGGGGGACTTCTTTTGTTTCCGGAATGAAGAGGGATGTGAAAGGACAGCAACTTGATGACATAAAAGTGGTGGGGAAAAAACGGAGGTGCTGTCAATCAACCAAATGGATGAGTTGAAAATGTTTCCAAGAATGTAATCACAGATTTGACATATGTAATCAGTGTAATGGAAAGTAGTTTGAAGGTGATAAGGTTGTTCTGTAAGAAAAAAAAATTAAAGCTTTGGGGAAATTCTATTGGGGGGGGGGGTGCAGGTGTACCCATTGTATGCCCAAAGGAATTGAAAGCAGGAAGGCAAACAGAAACCTGTGCATCAGTGTGCATTACAGGACTATGCATGGTAGGTAAAAGGGAGGGGAGGGGAGGGGAGTGCAGTGTGAAGGGCTAGTTTTATTTGGCCTTGCTTGCCAGTTTTATAACTCTCACTAAATGAGGGATGATGCAGATATGGTTCTGTGGCCCATCAAGGGTATTGGATAGCTTACTAATAATGCAAATAAATACTTCGCACCTTTGTGGGGTTTAGACTTTGCAAATAAGGAGTGGTTAAAAAAAATGGCAACAGAAAGACAGTAGGAGATAGCACAGTGCGATTCCCAGAACATGGATTGAAAAAGTTGAGGGAAGGAAGCCTGATGATGGAATGAGGTGCCTCTGGGCACTCTGTGGTGCCTATGCCCACAGAGGTAGAGAACTGAGTGTACCTTTTTGGCTAGGGTTTACTGTAAGGGTAGGCACGTGTCACTGACACTAGAGAGCTTTAATAGCAACATGCTTGAGCTAGGCATAGGCAATGGTGGTTCAAAAGGGCTGACAGGCCATAGGCCCGAGAGAGGCCTGCCTATGAGCAAATTAAAGCTTTTCTGATGGAAGAGGTATATCCTGAGTTGTTCCTGGTCCAGAATTGCTAGTGATTACCTCCCAAGTAAACTCCCTAACTGGGTATTATCTGAAATCTGTATGGCCATTGAATTATCAAAGCCCAGCAGAGAAGTAGAAACTGTTCTGGTGGGGGGTGCCTGATATCAGAATTCATAAAAAAGGTTGGGGAGAGGTGAAGAGCTAGCTATATTATCTCTACTTCATAAGAATCAGCCTTAATCTGATGCTGATTCTCCCCCTTGTGAAGTTTGAGGATGTCAGGTGCCTCCATCACACCAGTTTTATAGTGGAAACATTCAGAATGTCCACCAACAGATGAATGGATAAGCAAAATATATACAGTGGAATGTTGCTCAGCCATAAAGAGTAAAGAAGTCCTCGCTGGTGCCACAAATCCATGAGCTTTGAAAACATGCTGAGCAAAACAAGTCAGTCACAAAAGGGTAAAGGCTATGTGATCTCATTTATATTTGACTTTTCTGTATCTGGCTTGGTAGGGGATAGGAGTAGAACCATTCAAAAAGTGTTTTGTGTCTTCATTATCTGTTCTTTTATTTTTAGGACGAATGTCTCCAGCCAAACACCCTCTGCCAAAAGAAGTTTGGGGTTTCTTCCTCAGCCAGCCCCTCTTTCTGTTAAAAAACTGAGATTTAACCAGGATTATACTGGCTGGAATAAACCAAGAGTGCCCCTTACCTCTCACCCCCAGCAGCAACTACAAGGGTAGGTAAATTCTTTTATTTTGCTTTCTTTTCATAAGTGAGTTAATGAAAGTGTAGTTTGCTTAATGTTGAAGGGAATCAAATTAATTATAGTTCTAAAATATTCAGACATGAGCATGCGTACAAAAAAGGCATATTACCACTTATCTGTACATAGCACATATATTATCTACAATTTTGAGTTTTGAAATCTCTGGTATTCATTATAAATCAGAAAAATATGTATTCTCCCTATTGATACACCAACTCACTTCTGATACACTTTTAACATGAAATCTTGTTTATATTCCCCTTCACACTTAAATTTTGATCAATTTCACACAAAAATAAAATTGTAGTATAATGACTGTATAAATAGTAGCTACCTTAATTTGCCAGATAGTGTGTGCTTTGGAGTTGCATAGACTTGTTTTCTCTTAAGTCCTATCAACAGCCCTAATGTTAGATGTATTGAAAATCCCCTTATACAGATGCAGTAACTAAGGCAGCGAGCTGTTCTCAGCCTGTGGGTCATGACCCCTGTGGGGATCAAACGACTCCTTCATAGGGGTCGCCTGATTCATAACAGTAGTAAAATGACAGTGATGAAGTAGCAATGAAAATAATTTTATGGTTGGGTGGTGACCCCCCCCCC